TTTGCTCATAATCAGCTAATTTTCCATACTTGAAAAACGGTCCCTATCATAACTTTCTTCAGGATGAATATTTCTAGATTTACTAAATTGGAAGTGATAGAAGAGTTCAATAGCTACAAAATGATATTATTTGGGATACAGTATCTTGTAAATGAACAAAGTTACAAGCTAAAAACCGAGCCAATTTATCTTGGTTCCTGTCAAAGAAGTGGTCACCTGATAAATTATTTATCATTTTATCAAAAGTATTTTGTAAGTTGACAAATTCTGGATATCTTTCACAGGGAGCGAGATATATAGGCTCAAAGTTGACAGTGTGGGGTCCTTTGAACTAAAAATCATGAAAAATAAAAGCGAAATTCAATCGGAATCTAATTTACTGAGAAGTAGTCAACAAAGTATAAAGAAAGACTTAAAATCACTTAAAAACGGTCTGAAATTCAAGGAATAGAGGCCTATGAAAGTCCGTTTAAAATTTATCGAACATCGATCCCGGATTGTCCAAGGGGGGCAATCCAGAAAGTTAACTAGTTCAACCCATAATTCGATTTAAAATTGGAAATTCAGTTTGATTGAAGAAGTAACATGTAGAACTCGGCGAGAGCTACAAAATGATACTTAATTTGGCTAAATATCTAACTGACAAGTTTCAGAAAAACCGCCTGGACAGAAGGGGCTCCAACGCTATCAAATTTGCGCTCAATTATCTCGCTTCCTATCAGATATATCAAAAATATATCAACTGATAAAATGTTTTTCATTTTATCATTAACATTTTATCAGTTGGAGTTTTTTTTTTGATATCCTTGACAAGAACCGAGATAAATTGGCTCGGAATTAAAATTGTGGGAGCCCTTCTATCACAGATTTTACGGTGTTCAAATTCTTCTACCTTCTACCTAAGCTACACAGTCACAATTCATACAAAAAGATTAAAAATCGCTTGAAAACGATCCCAAGAAACATGTAAAAATCTAAATGACAAATTCTATCGACTAGAGGTTACTGTACTTTTTTGGTCTTTTTACACTAAATCAAGATTTTTCATCCCCTCGAAATTTTATGACTAGACCAATCACAAACCTCACCACTGAATCAATTTGTAAATTGACCTTGGCGCTAAAAGCAGGATCGTAAAAAAAAAAACAGAAAAAATCTACAGTAATCCATGGAAGACAACAGAACATTTTTTGTTCTCACTATCAGTCAATAAAATGATAGAGGGAGACATATTGATGGGAAATGTTAGCTAAAAGCTCCCTGTATTAGCAAATACGAGGGACAAATGCGTCGATAATAAAATTTGGGAGAATAAATTTAAAATTTGAGAAAAATGGGACCAATAATGGGGGTCAGAAACTAAAAAGAGCAGATATTTAGTTATAAAAATGTAGCTCAAAAAATATAGGCCTATGACTCAATTTGCCAGATATAAAAGCAAATTTTGCTTGTTCTGTCTGTCCGTCTGTAAATCCGGATGTCTCAATTTTTTTCCGATTTTTCCAATTTTTTCACATTTCAATTCCCAAAAACACAACCCTGTCCCAGTCATAAAACCCCGTAGATTTTAGAGCACACTTTCTCACTAGAATACACATTTTCGAAAATTTTATGGACCATAACAGTTCGTGTGTGTGTCTTCCCATGAGTCGTGCTCTCCAGGAAAGACACACATGCTGCACTTTCTGCACTTTCTGAGAAAAAAAAACTAGGAGTTTTCGAAAATTTTAGAAATAGACGGGGGACCAATCGTATTCTTGGGGGTTTCAAGGTAATTTCAAAACGCGAAAATCTTTGGGAATTATGATAATTTGAATTCAACGTCAGGGTTCAGATTCCAAAATTTATAGGATAATAAAAGCTCAAATTCGAAAGGAAATTGTCAAAAAATGAGTCATTAAGTGTCAAAAACGTTCGGAATCTTTAAAATTGGTTTGAAACTTTCAAAAAAATCGTCCAAAATGTTTCAAAAAACGGCTAAAAATCATAGAGAAATCTTAAAAATATTTTAGAATGAATAAAAATTGTTTAAATCAAAAAGTCTCAGACCCAGGAAGAATAATCTTTAAAATATTGTTTTAAAATTCTGATTTTTCCGTACTTTTAAATTCAGAAGTACAGAAAGGAAGTGCCAAGCTACTCGGTAAAATCTAAAGTACTAAAATGGAAGCTACAGTACTAAAAGTCAATTACGCAAGCCCATGGAACAAGACATGACCAAGAGGCTAACAATAACCAAGGAAATCAAAATCAGTACAATAGCCAGAATCAAGGCTACAGTAACCAAGAAAATCTGAACCAACAGAACACTCAGAACCAGTACAGTGACCCAGGAAGCTACAGTAACCAGCAGAAAACGCAAACTCAAGGAGGCTACAGTAACCCTATCTCTCAAAACCAGTAAAATAACCAGAATCAAGACTACAGTAACCCTGGATCACAAACTACGAATCAATTCCAAAATAATGGAATGTGCACCAATGTGACACTATTCTCGAATGTTAGTTGGCTACAGTAATCCCGCCTACAGTAATCCTGAAAGTCCTGGAATAGTCTAAAGAAATTGGAACGGAATAACCGATTATACAGATCAAGACAATTTCTCAGGCGAGTTTTTGAATTTGGCGGGAATTCGAAGTTTAAATAAATCAGTATCAAGGAGCTAGCTAAATTAACCCGGGAAGTTACAGTAACCAACAGAACACGCAAACTCAAGGAGGCTACAGTAACCAGAGAAATCAGAACCAACAGAATACACAAACTCAATACGGTAATCCAGGGAGCTACAGTAACCAGAACCAGCAGAATACGCAAACTCAAGGAACGAGACAGTATGATCAAGGAGTCTACAGTAACCAAGGAAATCAAAACCAGTACAGTAACCAGAATCAAGGCTACAGTAACCAAGGAAACCAGAACCAACAGAACACTCAGAACCAGTACAGTAATCCAGGAAGCTACAGTAACCAGCAGAACACGCAAACTCAAGGAGGGTACAGTAACCTAGGAAATCAAAATCAGTACAGTAACCAAGGAAACCAGAACCAACAGAACACTCAGAACCAGTACAGTGAACCAGGAAGCTACAGTAACCAGCAGAGTACGCAAGCACAAGGAAGCTACAGTAACCCTGGCTACAGTAACCAAGCAAATCAAAACCAGTACAATAACCAGAATCAAGACTAAAGTAATCCAGGATTACAAACATCGAATCAATTCCAAAATCATGGAATGTACACCAATGTGATACGATTCTCGAATTTTAATAATAATTATGGTGGCTACAGTAATCCCGCCTACAGTAGTCCTGGAAGTTCTGGAAATTTCAGGATGGTTCAAGGAAATGGAAACGGGATTACCGAAGAAGTCTTAAAACTAGTTTTAAGTCAAAAATTAAATCTGAAATTTTCAGATTGCTTCTTATCAATATTCATCATTGACAACGACCCAAATCCAATCCTACATGCAAAACGGAGCCAGACACGTCAGAATTTATCAATTTACTCATGTTTCGGAAGTTGTAAGGAATACGGTACCCTATACCGGAGCCAATTGGAAGCGTAAGATTCCGGGATCCTCAAATTCTGAAAATCCTGAATTTTCAGCTGTATTCAAAGGACAAGACATGTAAATTTGAGGACTTATGTTAGGCTTTTTTTTGAATTTGACGGTAATTTGTGGAATAATCAAATTAGTTTTGGGATCACGGAATGAAATAATCTACAATTTAAAGACATCCGGACACACAGATGTACATACAGAGTACCCGACCATAAAAAAAGAGTCATGGCGCCAGAGGACTCATCATCAAGAAAAAAGGACCGCCATGTGTGTTTTGTTTGTACACTTCCTGCAAAAAAAAGTGTCGGCTCTTCTTTTCTTTGTAACTTTTCGGCTACGTCGGTTCCTTCACTTTGTTTCCCACACGTGTTTAACTCGACCAATTAGTTCATAAAGAGAGAAAAAGCCGACACACTTCATGGGAGGTCATCAAAAAAAAAGCAAAAGACAAATAGAGGGTAATTGGTGACAAATGACTAAAGGAACGGGGAAATGAGGGGATTGGAGGGATTGCTAGAATTTACAGTAATCCAAAAGGAGGTAATGGAAGATATGAAGATTTTGACCGGCTAAAAAAAATTCCAAAAAAAATTATAAAATTATTTTTTGTTAAACATGATCTACTTTTTTTTACCAGAGATCAAAAAAAAAACTTTTTAGGGGATTACGGTAGCTGTAGTTCCTGTGATACCGAAAAACCAGATTTCCTCAATGTTATCATCAGAAGAAGAAGACGTCCGAAAATAGAAGAGAAGAAGGGGGACCATAAAATCTACAGTAATCCGATTTTCCCCTTTTTGGGGGGCTGTAAAACTGGCGGAAAATGGGTGCGGAAAAGAAAGAAGGAAATCATCAAAAAGGGGTTAACATCATAAAACTATTGGAATTTAGTCAAATGGGTGAATGAATAAGGTTGGAAGTTGAGAAACATATTACAAGGAGTCTATAATAATGACTAAAAAAGAAAAAAAAGACAAAACCACAAAAGGGATCGAACCCTTGACATTGCGCACAGGGAGTCGCGCCACATCCCCGACACCACGTCCCCGACTTCATCTCTTGCTACGGAAGGCGTATAGGTGTGTGCCGCATTTTCAGCTTCTCGCGGTGTTCATTGATGGAATATACCGTAAACACTCTAATATGTAAAAGGGGAACCGCACTTTGAGCCCATATATCTCGGTTCCTATGAAAGATATCAAAAAGTGGTCAACTGATGAAATATTAGAGATATTATGACAAACATTTTGTCAGTTGACAATTTTTTGATATCTAATACAGGAATCGAGATATATGGGCTCAAAGTTGGTGCCTTCTATTAGAGTGTTTTCTGTAATTTCAGAAGCTTCGAAAATCTCTAACTTTCTGTTTTAAATTGAAACATTCATTATCAACAACAAAAAATATGGTACATATTGGAAAGAAATTTCGGGATGAGATTAACCGTTAAACGGAAAACTGTTCACTTGGAATGAAATGTGGAAATTCGAGCCACCGTTGGCTCCACTCGTATATTGGGCTTGTGCGGTTCCGGGTGTCCTCGACACTTGTGATGTTCCCTGTGTAGCAGATGGATACGGTAGCGATTGGTTGTTCGCTAGAGCGTAGTTGTTTTGTGCCTGGAAATCGAAAAGAGGTATTGATGCGTTTAAAGGGCGAGGTACCATAGACACAATGACAGAATGACCCCACTAACTTTCATATAAATTATCTCGGTTCCTGTAAGAGATATCAAAAAGTGGTAAACTGGCAAAATTTTTATCATATTATCAGCATGATTTTTTCAATTTACCACTTTTTGATAACTCTTACAAGAGCCAAGATAATGGAGCTGCAAGCATAGGGGTCGCAAGCGCCGCCGGCCGCGTAGCTCAACCACCCGGCAACCTATACTTTGAGCTGGCTTATTTCGGTTCCTGTAAGAGATATCAAAAATTTGTCAACTGATAAATTGTTTATCATGACATTAGCAACATATTTTTAGTTGACCACTTTTTGATATCTCTCATAGTATCCCAGATAAATTGGTTGAAAGTTGACGGTTTGGGTGGCGTTATATCAGAGTGTGTACCGTAAGAATGGTCTCAACTTCAAAATTCAAACTTGACTAATTTAATTTATTAATTACCCTTAATCACTCCCTTTAATGGGAATTTGGATACCAAACGAGCTACACGGCCCAAAAACTCACCGTTTGACAAATTGGATTTACTTGATCCTGGAAAACCCTTCTCGCTTGTGGTGCATACTGTATCTGTTGTGTGGGTTGTGAATTCAGATTACAGTAGTTATAATTCTGTTGATTCGTTGTATCCCAATTTGCCACATTTCCAGTCTTCACGAAGTCTGACCATTGCTGACCCATCTGATTGGCAACTTGACGATCTTGAGGTGTGTAGTTCGAATTGGACCAGATGGTTTCGGACATTGTGATGAAGAACATGTCTTGTCCTTTGAATACAGCTGGAAATTCAGGCTTTTTAAACTTTAAGGGTCCCAGAATCTTACGCTTCCAATTGGCTCCGGTATCGGGTACAGTATTCCTTCCAACTTCCGAAACATGAGTAAATTGATAAATTCTGACGTGTCTGGCTCCATTTTGCATGTAGGACTGGATTTGAGTCGTTGTAAGGGAGGTGGATTGATCAGAAGCAATCTGAAAATGTTAGATTATATTTTTGGAGAAAAATTGGTGAAAAATAGCTTTAAAATGACCCAAAACTATTCTACAACATTTGAAAATTTTCAAATTCCCGCCAAATCCGACCCAGCCCCCCCCCCTCAAAACCAAAATCTCACCTGAGAAATTGTCTTGAGTTGTGAATAATCAGTAATACCGTTTCCATTTCCTTGAACCATTCCGAAGTTCCCAGAATTTCCAGGATTACTGTAGACGGGAATGCCACGATAGTTATTATTAACGTTGGAGAATTGTGTCACATTGGTGTACATTCCATTATTTTGGAATTGGTTCGAAGTTTGTGATCCTGGATTACTGTAGCCTTGGTTCTGGTTACTGTACTGGTTTTGATTTCCTAGGTTACTGTACCCTCCTTGAGTTTGCGTGTTCTGCTGGTTACTGTAGCTTCCTGGATTACTGTACTGGTTCTGAGTGTTCTGTTGGTTCTGGTTTCCTTGGTTACTGTAGCCTTGATTCTGGTTACTGTACTGGTTTTGATTTCCTTGGTTACTGTAGACTCCTTGATCATACTGTCTCGTTCCTTGGGTTTGCGTATTCTGCTGGTTCTGGTTACTGTAGCTCCCTGGATTACCGTATTGAGTTTGTGTATTCTGTTGGTTCTGATTTCTCTGGTTACTGTAGCCTCCTTGAGTTTGCGTATTCTGTTGGTTACTGTAGCTTCCCGGTTTAATGTAGCTAGCTCCTTGATACTGATTATTGGTCTGTGTAGCTGACCGCTGATCATATTGATATTGATTATTAGCTTGATTCTGATTATTCCCTCCCAAAGGATAATTATTAGCAATTATATTCTGCACCTGTCCAGTTTGACTTTGATTCAGCTTATTTTTCCTGGCAAAATCGAAAATCCAATTGTCCAAGTTCTCAGGATTCCCTCCATTTCCACTATTAATCAGCTTAAATGCATAATCAGCATCCTCATCCTGTACCGTACCAATAATAATTGGGATATTCGGTCTTTTCTGTGTCAGACTGTCAATGGACCCAGGTAGGAACGAAGTGTCCCTTACAATCATCCACGTGGCATTTGGTCCTCCCGGCTGTTGATTGACGAAAAAGTCGACGGTGTAGTTTTTCATGCAATTCTGAATATTTTGAGTCTGTCCAGAGTTCCATTGATCCGGGGAGATGTTACAAAGGGTTTCCGCCAACTGCTGAGAGGGATCGTCGTATTGAGCATTGGCAGAATTATAAGAGCTTCGTGCAGTTGTTGTCTCGGGTTGATATCCGTAGTTGGCGTTACCGTATCCTTGGTTTGGCTGGTCGTAGGAAGGTCTGGGAGTTGTTACTGGGACGTTTGGGTTTGTTGGGACTGCTGGGGTTGGGTTGTAGCAGGAGTAGACCGAGCCGGATTGGACGATAGCTTGGTTGAAGAGGTCTGGAAGTATTAGGTTCAGGGTGTCTGATTTCTAGCTCTATTCTGAGCCGAGGTACAGTGCCTTGAGTCGCAGACGACGAGTCAATCTGACTGTCTGCGTCTCTATCTCTTTAGGTATTTATTTTTCAGAAAAGTTGACAACGGATAAAATGTAGGAAATCGAATTTTACACATTTTTGTTCCAAGGGACGCAGACAACAAGGCACTCTGACTGTCTGCGTCTCTTCTATCACCGTTGTATCTCGGTTCACAAAAATGCTAGGAAATGAAAATCAGACAAAAAGCTGTATAATTTACGCTGTCCCCATCTCCTTAAATTTTTTGAAACTAACTCTGACTCATAGGACTTAAACAATGTGCCGACACTGCACACGCTCCATCATCCTGTCCAGCTACAGTAATCTGATTTGGATTCCCTCCGAAGTTCACAATTTCCGTTTTGATCCATTTCATAGCTTGCACCTGATCCAGCATTCCTAAATTCGATTGAACCGATTGTGTGTATGTGGTGAAGAATCCCAATGCGCCAATGCGGTACTGTAGGGTGACGACGACGATTTGGCGTTGAACCAGATTTGAGATGATTCCTTTCTCCTGGTTTTGGTCACATCCTCCGGTTGAGAAACCATTGGAACCATCGATTATGACCAGAACGGCAAGGTTGGCAGTGGTGTTTCCAACCTACAAGATTAGATTTTAGAAGATTCAAATTGTCTCGTTTCCTGTGAGAGATATCAAAAATCTGTCAACTAATGAAATGTTGGTGATATCATGATAAACTTTTGGCCAGTTGACAACGTTTTGATATCTCTTACAGAAATTGAGATAAGCAGGCTCAAAATAAAGTTGGCGCGGTGCTGAGCTATGCGCCTGCGACCCCATATGCTTGCAGCTGAATATATCGTTTTCTGTGAAAGATATCAAAAATTTGTCAACTGAGAAAATGTTACTGATATTATGGTGAACATTTTGTTAGTTGATTACTTTTTGATATCTTTAACAGGAATTGAGATATGCAAGCTCCAAGTATAGGTTGGAGCATCACTGAGCTGAGCTGTAAGTGGTCGGCGGCGCTCGCGACCACTATTCTTGCAACACTATTATCTCACTTCCTATAAGAGATATTAAGAATCTGTCAACTGATAAAATGTTTGTCATAATATCATCAACATTTTAATAGTTAACCTCTTTTTTATATCTTGTACAGGAAGTGAGATACTTGAGCTTGAAGTGCAGCTCACTTAAAAAAAATTTTCAATACATATCTAGCCGAAAATCTTACCTGTGGTGTATAGATATTCAAATAGAGACAATCCTCGTTCGTCGCCCCATTGGCATTCAGTTGGGGACATTTTGGACGGTAATACGTGGCATCTTGTAGTGTCGAATTGAATTGATTCAGAGGTTGTGGCGGCTGGAGACGCAGATTTCCGACGGGCGGTTGGCAGTAGGGAATTCCGGTGAACGCCTTGGCTTGGCCAGAATAGAGTTGGGATTGGTCATTTCCTGAAAAGGAGATAAGTAGAAAAGATCGGGAGTAGAGCTAGCTCAGCCACCGTATAACCGCTATTGGGACGCCAAGCTTTCAACTGCATTTTCTCTAATAGAAGCCTTAGAGACATACGTGCGCTTTGAGCTTAATTATCTCATTTTCTGTACAAGATATCAAAAAGTGGTTAATTGATAAGATGTTGCTGATATTAAGATAAACGTTTTGTCAGTTGACAGATTTTTCATATCTTTTACAGAAATTAAGATAAACAAGCTCAAAGTATTGGTTGGCGAATCGGTGAGCTACTTGGTCTGTTGCACTGGCGACCTTTATGGTTGCATCTCAATTATCTCATTTTCTGTATAAGATATCAAGAAGTAGTCAACTAATAAAATGTGTCTGATTTTATGATAAAAATTTCGTCAGTTGACAAATTTTTGAAATATGTTACAAGAACTGTGATAATAGAGCTCAAAGTGGAGTGGCCTTTTACGATATGTCCGCCGTTGGTCCGCCAGTGAACCGCCAAGCTTCATATAAAGTTCCGAAGCTACATAGGCGGCAAATTTCTTTTCACAAAAGCAGAAGAATGCTGCCAAACTTTCAGAATTCGAAAGTCTCACCCAAATCCACGGTCCTTCCTTGTACGGCTCCTTGAGAGCAGCTAACCGTAACATAATTGGACTGCTGATTCTGATTTTGGTACTGCTGACCATTTACAGACAAAAATAAGATAGAAAATATCATAAAAATGTTCGTCGGCCACCTCATCTCTCGTTCGGGGGGGAATAGTAGTAACTGAATGGGGGGCTCAGTGCTCTAAACTTATCACACTTTTCTCTCTGTGTCTATTTTCTCTTCAATAACCAGTTACCTATATATATATATATATTCTTAGTTACTTTTGCCACCCCCCCCGAAAAAATTTTTGGGCAAATAGTGAAAAGTTTCGAAAACGAGACAAAAAATTGTTTGTCTTAGAAGGAGTAATTGCTGATCAATGGGGGTAGTGGATGAATCATTGATCCGAGATTGGTCTGGATAGGTCAAAAAACATGGAAGTTTTGAAATTTTGAGAAATCCCAAAAAAATTAGCTATGAGCAATTTTGGATTTGATACAGATGTATTTTGCAATCCCTAGCTTTGACGCAACTTATCTCAGTTCCGGTAACAGATATCAATTAGTAATATGCTGATAAAATGTTGATGATATTATGAAAAACATTTTATCAGTTAACATCCTTTCGATATCTCTCAGAGGAAATGAGATATATAGGTTTAAAGTTGACGTTTTGGAGTCGTCGATGAAGCTGTTCGTCCTAATGCCGCAGAGAAGTTGAGCGGCAGTTCCCTATGGTTGCCAACTTTGAGCTTAGTTACCTTGGCTCCTTTGAGAGATATCAAAAAGTGGTCAACTAATAAAATGTTTATAATAAAATAAAGCACATTTTGTCAGTTAAACACTTTTTGATATCTTTTACAGGAAACGAGCGAAATTGGGCTAAAATTGAGCTTGTGTACTTTGAGGTGTCAGGTATCATTTACTGAATAAATAGTGTAGTAAAATTATTTCAAGCCTTTTGTTTGTTGATTCGAAAATTTGAGGGATCAAAGATCAAGGATCTATGGGATCAATGGGATTTCCAGAATTTTGGGAACTAATGAAAAATGGAGACAACTTTTAAAGTTGAAAGGGAAAGTTGACAGGGGTATGTAGATCAGAAAAAGTTTTTTTTCTGGTAAATCAAATTTAGCTATAAGTATGGTTCATCTTTTTCATGAAAAATGTATCCTTTCCTGGAAATACTTTTTGAGTAGTTTTGGATTTTTTTTAAAATCTCAAAGTTTTTGATCTTCTTTAAAGAAGGCCAGACACCAAAAAAAGTTTTCCTGATATTTTGCATAGAGAACCCCCATGAGGGGTTGAACTCATGACAGGCAGCTCAGGGGTACAGCGCCGCTACCGGCTAAGCTACGGGGGCGCGAAGGCGCCTGACGACCGATGGTCTACATAAGCGCGGCGCGATTTCGTCCCCCGAACTGTCCCCCGAAATTTTTGCTGTCTCGCTTCCTTTAAGGTTTCAGATCCCTTGAAGGTTTTTTTTCTTAATTTTTCATAACTTCTGTAGCCAAGGTACGGTGTAGCCTCTTCTTCTTCGTCTGATTCCTTCAGTTCCTTTGGTCTGATAAGACAACACCATCGCCTGTCTTTGTTTTCCATCATAATTCTCCTTTTTTCTCTGCGTCTCTTCATAGTATTAGTGTTCTGATATGATTACAGCCATATCAAAATAGAATAGTACAAATGAATGGGTTTTTTTTTGAATTTTCAAATTTTTTAAAATACATTTTAATGTTATTTTTAAAAGTCTTACAATTTTTTGAAAGTTATTCTCATAGTGACTTTTTTAATTTTTAGCAAAATTTCAAATTATGAAAAACTTGAGGAAAAAATTTAAAAATCAAATCTTGAAATTTCAGAAAAATGAAATTCGAAGAATCCATGGAACTGCCGGTAATTGTCGTTGATAGCGGAGTTTTACTACCTGGAGCAAGTCTGAAAATTCCAATTAGATCGAAATTGAAGTGAGTTCTGAATTTCTTTAAATTTTGGAAATTCAAAAATTGAAACTTCTGAAAATTCCGAAAAATTTTATCGTTCAACCATTCAAAAAACTAGAAAATCCATTTTTTTTCCAATCGTTCCAGAAAGATCTAAAATTACAGAAACTCCAAAAAATGTGGGCTTCCGAGTTCAAAAAAATTCAAGTTCCAAAAAAACGCAAAATTTTAGAGTTTCCAAAAAACTCAGAAAAATTGGAAATTCAAAAATGGAATTCAAAAACTTCAAAACGCTACAAAAATTTCGAAAAAGCTGAAAATGGAAAACTTAGAAATTCTCAGCTTTTTTTCAGATTTTTCGCAAAATATCCAAATTCCTTAGCCTTTGAGCTCAATTATCAGGATTACTATGAGAGATATCAAAAACGTGTTAATTGATAAAATGTTTATCAAAAAATCATCAGCATACATCAGCTGACAGCTGACAGATTTTTGTTATCTCTCCTAGGAGCCGAGATAATTGAGCTCAAAGTTCAACTAATCACTACATCATCTTAAAATCTTCCAGCACCCGCACAATCGAACAGCACCTGACCCGTGGAGGATCAAACTACGTAGTGATTGCTTACAAGTTATCAACTGATAAAATATACAATGTAGCTACAATTGCCTACATCGAAAAGTTGTTTGGATGGACGTTCAACTCGACGACGAACTACTCGTTGGATGTGATCGGATTGCATAGAGCAAATATTGACAAATTGTCATTTCCAAAATGTCGTGTTTCGAAACTTGAGGATTCTAGCGAAAGAGGTAAATATGAGACAGAAGCTGGAATTCTAAGAAACTGAAAATAGAAAATCTATTGGACTACAAATCATACTGTAGGATAGGTCTTAGATTTTCTGCCTGGAGAAACCTCTCCCGGAGAGATTCTTAGATTCTTAGATTCTTAGATTCTTAGAAGATTCTTAGATTCTTAGATTCTTAGATTCTTAGATTCTTAGATTCTTAGATTCTTAGATTCTTAGATTCTTAGATTCTTAGATTCTTAGATTCTTAGATTCTTAGATTCTTAGATTCTTAGATTCTTAGATTCTTAGATTCTTAGATTCTTAGATTCTTAGATTCTTAGATTCTTAGATTCTTAGATTCTTAGATTCTTAGATTCTTAGATTCTTAGATTCTTAGATTCTTAGATTCTTAGATTCTTAGATTCTTAGATTCTTAGATTCTTAGATTCTTAGATTCTTAGATTCTTAGATTCTTAGATTCTTAGATTCTTAGATTCTTAGATTCTTAGATTCTTAGATTCTTAGATTCTTAGATTCTTAGATTCTTAGATTCTTAGATTCTTAGATTCTTAGATTCTTAGATTCTTAGATTCTTAGATTCTTAGATTCTTAGATTCTTAGATTCTTAGATTCTTAGATTCTTAGATTCTTAGATTCTTAGATTCTTAGATTCTTAGATTCTTAGATTCTTAGATTCTTAGATTCTTAGATTCTTCTTTCAGCAGAATTCAATCATTCCACAATCGAGAATGTGATTTCTGGAGCCAAAATCCTTGCTCAAAACTCGGAATCCCTAAAATTCTCCCAAGAAATTCACAATTCTATCGACGACCACGATTATGGAAAATTGGCTGATTTGTGTGTTTCACAAATCAAAAATTTGGAATTTTCCCAATTTTTGGATTTTTTGGGAACCAAAAATGTGGAGAAACGGCTGGAAATGTGCGAGAAATGGATGCAAATGCAGAGAGAAGTAAGAATTGGCGCCAAAAAACTGAAATTTAAGATTTAAAATTTCAGACAAAAGCACTTCAACTGAAAATGGCAGTCCCAGGAAATTCTGAAATTCCAAAGAAAATCAATAAACAACGAATTCCAAATTCCAAAAATCAAGTGGAACAATTGGAGGAGAAATTGAGTGCCATAGAGTTTTCAGAGGAAGTTTCGGTGAGGAAATTTAGGAAATTCTAAGAAAATCCCCATTTTCCAGGACCGCGTCTTCTCCGAACTGCACCGTTTGAAAAATATGAATCCCCAACAATCCGAGTACACTGTCCTTATGAATTGGTTGGAACTTGTCTCGAACCTTCCATGGAACACATCTACAGTAGACGATATCGAAATCAATAAGGCTCGAAAGATTCTAGAAGATTCTCACGAGTCAATGGATGATGTTAAACAACGGGTTCTAGAACATTTGGCAGTTTGTAAAATCAACAATTCAGTGAGTGGAGAGATCAAAAGATTTGGATAACTGGAGATCAAAACAATGTTATAGGTCAAAGGAATGATTTTATGCTTTACGGGACCACCGGGAATCGGAAAAACTAGTATTGCGAAGGCGATTGCAGAGAGTATGGGCAGGAAGTTTCAGAGGTATGAATTTAGATTAGCGACGCGTCATCTTATAATTTGAGCCCGCTTATCTTGGTTCCTGTGAGAGACATCAAAATTTCGTAAACTGACAAACTACTTAAAGTTTTACGGCAAACATTTTATTAGGTGACAGATTTTTTATATCTTTTAAAGGGGCAGAGATAATTGAGCTCAAAGTATATAGGTTGGCTCGTCGGTCGCTGAGCTTATCTCCTACAAAAATCCAGATAACTGACTCAAAATCCTAGCGTAGAAAAAGGGAATATTATTAGAGGAAACAGCGTAGTCCAACTAGTAGTTTCAGCTTCTCAAAAGCCGAACTTTGGCAAAGTCATAAGCACTTCGAAGTTCTATTGAGACTAGTTGAGCTATGCGAACGCAGCGACCACACAGGAATCTACACGATCCTTCAAAAATGCATCCCTAATTATTCCAGAGTCTCCCTTGGCGGAATCCGTGACGAATCCGACATCCGTGGTCATCGGCGTACCTATGTGGCAGCCATGCCAGGTCGTATCATTGAAGCCTTGAAGCACTGCAAATCTAACAACCCAGTGTTCCTCCTCGATGAAGTAGACAAACTCTATTCCGGCAACCAGGGAAGTCCATCAGCTGCTCTTTTGGAGTTGTTGGATCCCGAACAGAACTCGACGTTCCACGATCATTATTTGAATATTCCATTTGACGTCTCCAAGATAATGTTTATAGCGACGGCTAATGATGTTGAGAGGTTGGAACCGGCGCTAAAGGATCGATTAGAGATTATTGAAATGAGTGGATATTCGATGAAGGAGAAAGTCAAGATTTGTGAGAATCATTTGGTGAACAGACAACTTTCAAAGCATTGTATCAGTCCGGACTATGTCAATTTGGATAGGCACGCGATTATGGCTATGAGTGAGTTTTTTTAAAGTTTAAAGTAGCCGAGTTCCTCTTTCTTCTGAACCGATAAGCTAAGCTTAAAGTTAGCTAATAAGCTAAGCTAAGCTTTAAGCCGAGATTAAAGTTAGCTTATGACCTTGAAGCTTCCTTAAGGCTGATAGTGAGCTACAAGGTCCAAAATCCTTAATCTTCTAAATTTCAGTCGAAGAATTCACCATGGAAGCAGGCGTTCGTCAACTTGAACGAAACGTTGGAGCCGTTTGTCGCCACGTGGCCCTCCGTCTAGCCGAAGCTTTAAACTCTGACCCATCAGCTGACGTTCTACCGGATATGGATCTCCCTATTCAGATCGGAGAACCCGATATTCACAAAATCCTAAAAGCAAAACATATGAAACGAGTGAAAATCGTTGAAAAAATGAGACCTTTACCACCAGGGGTATGCTTCGGATTGAGTGTTACGACGAATGGAGGAAGGGTTATGCCCATAGGTAGAGTAACCAAAATCTTTATAGGTACAATAACCCGCGTTTCCAGAAGCTTCGAAATGCAAAGGAACTGGGAAAATCGTGACTACCGGACATTTGGGAAAAGTTTTGGAAGAAAGTATCCTCGTTGCCAAGGGATGGTTAGGAGCAAATGCAGAGAAATTGGGATTGAAAACTCTCGAAGAGAATGATATTCATGTACACCTCCCAGCGGGGGCTGTTAATAAAGATGGACCGTCTGCTGGTACAGGATTGGCTTGTGCGTTGGTCAGTTTGGCAATGGGTGTCCCATTGAGAAGCGATGCGGCTGTGACTGGAGAGATTTCACTGACGGGACATGTTTTGGCGGTGGGTCCGACTTGCTAGGTTACGTGGAAGCCGAGATATAACCCTTAAAAGAGAAGCAGACAGTAAGAGTGTCTGCTTGTCTGCGTCTCTCACCTCCTTCCTTCAAACCGCTCTATCTTAACTTCCAGACAAGCTAGCAACTTGATTTTTCTAGTTTTTTTTAACCCCGCAATCTACAGTATTTTTGATTTCAGATCGGTGGAGTCAAAGAAAAAGTGTTGGCTGCCCAACGAGAGGGTCTTCGCCGGGTGGTCCTGCCGAAATCCAATGAAGAAGAATACCTGAAAATTGATGAAGACATTCGAAATGAAATGGACGTCGTGTTGGCGGATACTGTAGAAGATGTGATTGAGGCAATGATGGAGAAGGAACCAGTTTTGGCGAAACTCTGATTTTGTGAATACAATTTTTTTATTCGAATATGTTCATGTTTATACTCATTTTGTTTGTCTTTTCAGGACAAATTCAAAAATGTTGTATTTAAAAAAATTGAGCCAAATCGAAAGAAGTTACGGTTGTTTTTGGGTCGAATAGATGCACTATGTACCAAGCTACATAATCAAATCGAAGGATATGGACGCTACAAAAGATTTCCAAAATTTCCAAACGTTTGCAAACCCCATATGACTTGATGCTCAATAAAATGAAGGTGAAAATGACCAAAAATTACATAAAACAGCCTAAAATCGCTTACAACCAAACCAAAAAAAGCAAAAAAAGAACTAGGGGGCACCCGGAGTTGAACCGGGGACCTCTCGATCTGCAGTCGAATGCTCTGCCACTGAGCTATACCCCCACACACGGAAGAGGGAGGGTGAGGCCGTATAGCTGTCTAATACTTCCTGCGTCTCTTCACAACGTTGGGTCGCCAGGAAAGGGATTTATCATTAAAGGAAACGGGAGTTTAGGACATGAAGAATTAAAGAAGTCTTGTAAAAAATACAAAAAAATTCCTAGGCACTCAAGAACTTCTAAAGGTTAAAGGTGCTAATAATACGGCCCTTATACCTTAAGTTGGAACCTAGTGAACTTGTTATTGTAACTTTAAATAATCGTTTAAGGTTCCGAAGGATCTTTAAGGTTCCTTAAGGTTCCAATAAAAGAGATGGGTAAAAAACAAAAAACAATTGAAGTACATCAATCTTGAAGATAAGAGTACCCTGGGATAAAATTGGTTAGTAGGTAAGGGCTGTGGAGAAGTGGAGCTATAGTTAGGCACTCTAATGACCCCGGCTTTGTCCAGTTGGGGGGCTATAACTGAAGGTGCTAATCCAATTATAGCACATTTGGTCCATATTAAGCTGTCCTTAAAAGAGGCCAGACACCAAAAAAAAAAAAGTTTTCCTGATATTTTGCATAGAGAACCCCCATGAGGGGTTGAACTCATGACAGGCAGCTCAGGGGTACAGCGCCGCTAGCGGCTAAGCTACGGGGGCGCGAAGGCGCCTGACGACCGATGGTCTACATAAGCGCGGCGCGATTTCGTCCCCCGAACTGTCCCCCGAAATTTTTGCTGTCTCGCCTCCTTTAAGTTATAATTATATTGAATTCGAATATATTCAAATGAATCAGAAGCAACGGGGGCTACCTGGAACAATTTATGTGTTCTAGATTTCAAGTTAGATATCAATTTGTAGATCTCATCGAGTTACACATTATCATTTTTGATTTGAACAGAAATTCCTAGTTTCAACTGCTTAATGAGCCGCCCAAATATTATCTTTTCACACACCAAAAACCAATTCTCTTCCCTTTCATCTTCCCTCTTCTTTGTCCCAAAAAGTGACACCTACACTCTCTCTCTCTCTCTCTCTCTCTCTGGTCCCGTCACTTTTCTTCTTTTTGCCTCCCCGGGGTATCCTAGTGACCCCAAAGGGTGACCTGGCAACGTATCCCCTCTCATTCCCCAAAATTTCGCCTTTTCATGCTTTACTACACACACTTTTTTGTTGTTATTGTTGTGAAATATGTATATATATATTTTTTCCTTTTTTTTGAACTTTTTTAAATGTTTACAGTTGAAGTTAGACTCTGAGAATCTGAAAGTTTGAACTCTACCGTACTTCCTCTAATACCTCCAACTTTGAGCTCAATTATCTGTGTCCCTTTAAAAGATATCAAAATTTTGTCAACTGATAAAATATTGGTGATATTATGATAAACATTTTATCAGTTGACAGATTTTTGATATATCTGATATGGACCAAGATAATTGAGCTCAAAGAATAGGTACGTCGCAGAGCCGACCAAGTGCGGCGACGCTCAAGACCCTTACATTTGCAGTTCAAATATCTAAGCTCCTATAAGAGATGTCAACATTTTGTCAACTGATAGAATGTTTATTATATTATCACCAATATTTTATCAGTTGACAGATTTTTGATATCTCTGATAGGAAGCAAGATAATTGAGCTCAAAGTATAGGCACGTCGCAGAGCCGACCAAGTGCGGCGACGCTCAAAACCCCTATGTTTGCATTTCAAATATCTTGGTTCCTTTAAGAGATATTAAAATTTTGTCAACTGACAAAATTTTTCGCACATTATCACCGATATTTTATCAGTTGACACATTTTTCATATCTCTCACAGAAATTGAGAAAATTGAGCTCAAAGCTGACGGCGTTGGTGGTTGTAAAGAAAACCATATGATTCTAAAAATCTTTTTTTTTTTATTTCTTTTTTTTAAACTTCAGAACCATGGGAAAGGGCGACTCGATCATCGTCGCTGTCCGGGTTCGCCCATTCAATGATCGGGAGACTAAACGAAACTGCAAACTAGTGATCGAAATGCCAGATGAGGAAACTACTGTAATCCGTGACCCAAAAACCAACGAGGAGAAAAGGTTTACCTATGATCACTCCTACTGGTCGCATGATGGATTTTCAGAGAAGAAAAATGGATATTTTGAACCAGAAAATGCACATTATGCGGATCAGGTAGGTATTCTCAATGGAGCGCATTTGTAAGGACGTTTTCAGAAAAGAGTGTTCGAGGATCTTGGCCGTGGAGTGTTGGCTAATGCTTGGGCTGGATACAATTGCTCACTTTTTGCATATGGACAGACTGGAAGTGGAAAATCCTATTCGATTGTTGGATTTAAAAATAACAAAGGTGAGACTTAAAATCATAGCTCAGAAGCCCGGAAATTAGAGGTATTTTCTAAACCTAAATAAAAGTTAAATGCGACCTAAAATTCGTCAAAAAATTTGGTACGCTTCACGAATTTGCGTGTCATCCTTGCGCAGGGGCCATGCTAATCTTCTCTGTATTGTTCCAATTTTAGTATATGTTCTCGGAAGAACAGGAAATTTGAAAGCGCAACGCGTATATAAGGGGTAGGGTAGCCAAGCGGCCGACACCTCCCGGGTTCCGCCGCCCGCTATGTTTTGTGTGTAAAAGGGGCGGGGCTTAAGGGGAAAGTGGGGGAAGAGGGAGTCATCGTAAAATAGTTATAACTTTGATTGGAATGAAGATTTTTGAAAAATTCTTTTTGTGTTGTATAGGAAATTCAAAGATCTATCTGAATATTTAGGAATTGTCCCAATCGTGTGCGAGGAACTATTCAAACAAATCGCTGACAATAAAAAGAAAAATATGCAATTCGAGGTATTTGTGTCAATGATGGAGATTTATTGCGAAAAGGTTCGGGATTTGCTGACATCTACACCGCCGCCAAAGGGAGGTCTGAAAGTCAGGGAGCACCCGAAAAATGGGTTCTACGTTGAGAATTTGACTACAGTACCCGTGAATAGTTTCAAGGAGATTGAGGCGAAAATTGAGGAGGGAACGAAGCAGAGAACGATTGCTGCTACACAGATGAATGCGACGAGTAGTAGGTGAGTCAAGTCTGAAACTTTTCAGAAGTTCAATTTTATGTCATTGTGTAGTCCTTTTTAAAATCTACATTTGCCAATTTGATTCTTCCAAAAATGTTGAGTTTGAATGAAGTTATGAGTGGTACAAGTTCAGAGAGCACTCCTAATATTTAAGCTCAATTATCTCAACTCCTATGAGACCTGTCACAAATGTGTTAACTGATAAAATGTTGGTGATAATATGATAAAAATTTTATCAGTTTACAAATTTTTGAAATCTCTTATAGGAAACGAGATAAGCAGGCTCAAAGTAAAGCATGCCGCGCCGCTGAACTACGCGGTTGGCCGCGTTGGCGTCTCCTTTGCTTGCAGCTCAATTATCTCGGTTCCTATAAGAGATATCAAAAATTTGTCCACTGACAAAATATTTGGTACGTTATCACCAATATTTTATCAGTTTACAGATTTTTCATATCTTTCCTAGTAACCGAGATAATTGAGCTCAAAGTCTGTAGATTGGCGAGTCGCCGAGCTGCGCTTGCGACCTCTATGCTTGCAACTCAATTATCTCGGTTCCTTTAACAGCTAGTAAAAATTTGTCAACTGATAAAATGTTTGTCATAATATCACCAACATTTTATCAGTAAACATAACGTTGATATCTCTTATAGGAATCCAGATAATTGAGCTCAAACCTTCAGACCTCAAACTGAAAGCTTTCAGAGCTCATACTATTGTCAAGATCACATTCAATCAGAAATCTAGCAAACAAGCCGGTGGGACGTCAATGAAGAAAAGTGAAATCAATCTGGTAGATTTGGCGGGAAGGTAAGACATTTAAATACTGGTGGTGCACTGTATGATTGGTGGTAGTCGTGGAAGAGCAGACACCTTATGCAAATGCGCCCCAATGAGAATCATTCCAGCGAACGCCAATCAGCCGCCGGAACCGAAGGGGATCGTCTGAAAGAGGGAATCGTTATCAATCAATCTTTAACAACCCTTGGCAGGGTAATCAAAGCACTTCACGATTCTCAAAAAGCGAAAGGAGGAAAGAAAATGCAAATCCCATATCGAGACTCGGTGTTAACTTGTCTGCTGAAGAATGCATTGGGTGGGAACAGTAAGACAATAATGGTAGGTTAAGGTTTTTAGAAGGTTCTGAAAATGATGTTTTAGATTGCCGCCATTTCTCCAGCAGACATTAATTTCGAGGAGACCTTGTCCACGTTGAGGTAGGCTTAACTCTGCTCAAAATCTGAACTTTATTTCGAAACAAAGAGTCAAATGTAGAACTCAATAATATCTACAAAATAATATAAAATACAACTTTATTTTAATACCAAAACAACCGATGTGGCACATAATTCAAAGGGTATAGTAGCCTTGAGATATCCACTGTTCTACGATTTTTGTGTTGAGAACTCTGCATTTGTATATATTAGAATTACATATCATATTGTAGATCTTATCAAGCTCTATATTTTGGTTTTTGAGTTAAAAAGAAATTCTGATTTTGAGCCAAGTTATGCGACCTCATAAACTCGCTTCCAGATTCGCCGACCGCGCCAAATCCATCAAAACCAACGCAGTGGTCAACGAGAATCAAACCGAACGTGCTCTTCGAGAACTTCGCGAAGAAAATCTCCGTCTTCAAAGCCAGATTCAAGGGGGCGGAGCCACGGGAGACGCCAGCAACGAAGAAATCGAAAAGCTTCGACGGCAACTAGCGGAGAATCAAAAGGAAATGGAAGAAATGGAAAAGAGTTGGCAACAGAAAATCGCCGAGGAAGCTGCGAAACACGCTGGCGGTGCCAGTGAGAAGGCTGAAATGGAAGCGAAGAAACGGAAAATGTGTCATCTTTGGAATCTGAACGAGGATCCGGCGCTGACGAATGTGATTGTGCATTTCATACCAGTTGGGGAGACAGTGGTGGGGAATAAGCCAACAAGTTCTGGGAATTTCATTCAAATGAGTGGTTTGTCGATTTTACAACAACATGTGGTTTTGAAGAATGATGGGAATAATCAAGTCACTTTGAATCCATGCTCAGAGGTATTTTTGTTTTAATGGGTGCTTGAAAATGTGCTAGGACGCTATCAGTAATTATCTCGATTCCTGTAAAAGATATCAAAAAGTGGTCAACTGATAAAATATTGGTGACATTAGGATAAATAATTTATTGGTGGACAAAATTTTAATAATTTTCACAGGAATCGTGATAATTGAGCTCAAAGTTAACGTTTTGGGTGGGCTTTCAACCTTTCCCATTTTTCCAGGATCTCGACATTTTCATCAACGGAAAACCGGTGCACGGCGAGACGCAACTCCAACAAAACGATCGTGTATTTTTTGGTGGAAACCATTTGTATGTGTTCAATAATCCCACGAAAAAAGGCATCAAAACCGATATCACCTATGATACGGCACAGGCGGAAATTGCCCAGAATCATGCGGCGGCTCTGGGGAACAGAGGAATTGGAGGAGGTTCGAAGAGTGAGTTCTAGATTTGAAGTTTAGAGTTAATTGAGAATAAGAAAGTGAAGCTAGAAAAGAATTATTGATTGATATAAAATTTGACTTTGCTGGAACATGCCAATCGTCCTAAAATCAACTAAAAACTAACCGATTTGTTTGCGCCTCCTGGTCAATACTTCGAATATGGAAAATTCAGAAAATTGTTAACGTTTTATAGAACTTTAGAAGATATACATTTTAAAAGTTTATTCAGTTGAAAGTATTGAGTTTGAAGCAAACTACCATGTTTCAAGTGTGATACCCTTTGAAATGCCGAAACATATTTTCCACGGTGCTTGGTCCAAAGCCTGAAAATCCAGTCATTTTAAAATTTATATCATTTTGTAGAACTTTTGAAGATCTATGTTTGTTAATTTATTTTAATCAGAAATATTGAGCTTGAAGCGAGTTACCGTACTTCAAAGGAGACATACTTGAAAATCATGAAACGGATTTTCCTCAGTTTTAATGACAACTGTTCCCCACCCTGAAACCCTAGCTATTTCAACTTTTGTACCATTTTGTAGAACTTTTAAAGATCTACGTTTTCCAATTTGTTTTAATCGGAAATATTGAGTTTGAAGCGAGTTACCATACTTTCAATGAGATACCTTTTCAAAATTACAGAACACATTCTTCAATTGCATCTGTTCCTAACCCTGTAAATCTAGCTATTTAAAGTTTTATACCATTTTGTGGGACTTTTTATGATCTACATTTTTTAATTTAGAAAAATCAAAAATATCAAGTTTGAAGCGAGTTGCCGTGTTTCCAGTGATACACCCTTTAAAATTACGAAACAAACTTTCCCCGAAACCTGGTCCTGATCCCGAGAATCTTGCTATGTCGAATGTTATACCGTTTTGTAGAACTTTTCAAGGCCTACCTTTTCCAGTTTATGCCATTTCAAAATGCCAATTTTCAGGAGACTTAATCCTTGAAGAAGAGCTAATGTCCACTCTACCATTGGTTCAACGCGCAAATGCAATGGCTACCGAGTTGGGGTAAGTCCCTCTTTTCCAGAAAGTTCGACCTGCCAACTTATTACTACTTTTGCAGACGAAATGTGAAATTCGAAATCGTTTTGGTGTCACCCGAGATGCGCGGACTGACGAGTGGACTCACAGAGGTAGGAAGGGGGTGATGTCATTTTTGACCTAGAAAATATGTAAAACTTTTAAAAAGTAGTCTTGAATTGAAAGATGATCCAAAACTGAGTTGGATGCTGGTCTATGACTCATGGAGTAGGTTTTGATGTTTAGACTACGAAATTTGCAAAACCTTTAATCCCGACGAATTGAAATTTTTGAAATGTTCTGAGAATCCACAGTAACCTTAAAATTTCAGATCTGGATAAAAGTGCACAACATCTCAGAAGACACATATTTCCTCTGGGAAAAATCGAGGTTTATGAATCGATACTACGGAATGCAAGAAATGTATGAAGCGAAACAAGATGGATCGGATGGTTGGAATATGCCAAAAGAGAGAGATCCGTTTTACGAGCCCCCGGATTCTCCAGTTTTCATCGCCTCGTCTGTGGTCTTTCTGCAAAGTTTAGCGTATTTGATTGATGTTGAGGAGCAGTTTCCGATTGTGGATTTGTCAGGTACGAGGGTTTGAAAAATTTCAATTTGACCTATAGAAAATGATCAGCCTTCAGGAAGAAGTATACCGTAAACCTTTACTAGAAGGACCCCTACTTTAAGAGAATTTATCTCGGCTCCTGTCAAAGATATGAAAAAGTTGTCAATTGATAAATTATTCATCCTTATACCACAAACATTTTATCAATTGACAATTTTTCGATATCTTGCATGGGAGCCGAGAAAAATGAGCATGAGCTCAGCTCAAAAATAAAAACCCAGATTAAATCGCGCCGAGAGGCACACCAGCCAGCTGGTAAAGTAATAAATCAATCAGTATAAGGTTTGAAAAATTACACATTGAAGGTATAAGGTATAAGGTATAAGGTATAAGGTATAAGGTATAAGGTATAAGGTATAAGGTATAAGGTATAAGGTATAAGGTATAAGGTATAAGGTATAAGGTATAAGGTATAAGGTATAAGGTATAAGGTATAAGGTATAAGGTATAAGGTATAAGGTATAAGGTATAAGGTATAAGGTATAAGGTATAAGGTATAAGGTATAAGGTATAATATTTAAGGTATAAGGTATAAGGTATAAGGTATAATATTTAAGGAAATCCGCTCATCTCTGCTCCAAAATGTTCAAAGTAACCTGACAGACGACCTCCAGACTTCTGAGAATGGTCCAAATTCACTGAAAAAATACGTTTTTTTAACGAAAAGTACGAATTATGAAAAATAACAAAAGTGTACTGATTATCCAGACTCTCGTCTATTGATCCCATTTCGCCACGTAGAGGCTCAGTACATGAAAGGGTCCCCCCGCCCGTGGTCTCCGAGGACCTATTGTTGGATAATTGCCAGGAGTTCTTTTTCACTGAACTATTATAAGAAGCCATGCATAAGCCGTTTATTGCCATTTCATTTCTTTTAAACCTTTTAGATTGAATCTTTTGCTACTGGGGGACGTTCAGTGATAACACACCTAACCATGAACCCCAAAACATGGCGACCCTTCGGGCCTTTTAATACTTTTCTCGCTTTTTCGACCAATCGAAAGACGAATAGAAGAACATGAAACGACAGTAAGCAGCGCACGGCGAATAATATTGGAAATCGAGTTTTTCTGATTTTTTTCTGATTTATTAGCGCTTTTCGCGATACAGGGAAAAATCAGCTTTTCTTGGCATTAAAAAATTCTGGGTCTAAAATTTTTTTTTTTCAAAATAGGTAGAAATTGTAGAGAATTTGAAAACAAATCAAATGATCTAAAAAACGTCTGATTTGGCCCAAAAATAAAAGCCCTGATAGATTTTCTAAAAAATCAACTGAATTTTGTCATTTTTGAAGGTTTCTGAAAGTTTTCAAAAAATCTGTCGAACCATTCTTAATGAAAATAGGTAGGATTTGTCCATAATTTTACGAGAAATTTGCTGATATTAAAATCAACCCATAAAATTTAGAATTGAGACCCCTGATAGGATTTGAAGCAGTCGGATTACTGTAGATTTGAGGGAAAATTATTATTTCTGTTCAAAATTTGCTGCATTTTTATTTGGCGTGCTATTATTGGCGTGGCATTTTTGGCTTGAATCGACGTGGAATGACCTAGAAGAGGGAAATTTAAGGGGAAAAGTGATGCCTAGAGTCTCAAATCCATCCATATGTCGGCTCACGAACAAATTAATTTATTTTTAACTTTTTGAATTTCGCTCTTTTCTCGATGCATGAGAAAAGCGCCAGCAATCGCCGTTCCACGTTTTTCACAAATTGTTTGGCGTGCAGCGTAGTGCATAGAGCTTCTTAACAATAAGAAAGAACTTGGAAATTATCAAGCAATAAAGTTCAAAGAGGATGATTTTACAAGAAACTGAGTTTTTTTTTTGCGAATACGTGGAATTTGTTTGTGACCTTACGTGAATAGAAAACATTTTTTTGAAAAACTTGAAAATTAAATATAAATTGACGTGGTCTCTTAAGAAAGATAAGGGTACAAACTAGGTCAAATTGCGCCTTCGGCGCACCAGCAAACCGGCTTGTTCAGAATAACTTCTGAAATTACCCAGTTTTTCCAGGCCAAGAAATCGGACTTCTAACAGTTGGTCTCTCTCCATGCTCGACAACTGGAAAAGAGCTACGAGGTGAATATGTGGAGAATCCATCACAACTAATTGGCAAGAATATTGCATTCAAGGTGAAAGTGATCTCCGCAGTTGGACTCCCCAGACGAATCTTAAAGTCTAATTGCAAATACCGATTTTTTGGATCAAAGAAAATGACAACGACGCCAACGGTGTCTGGGAATACCCCCAGTTATGGGCACGAGGAGACATTCCAGTTTAAGCCAGTTACCAAAGAATTTGCCGATTATTTGGCGAATTCCAATTTGTATATTACGTTTTGGGGAACACAACGACCAAGAGGAGCGAATAGTCGAAGGAATAGTGTGTCAACTATTGGGAGTGGTGGAGCCAGAGAAGGTCCTAATAGGACGGTAAGGGGTGCCGTAAAACCTGTAATAGAAGGACCCCCAATTTTGAGCTCATTTATCTCGGTTCCCATTAAAGCTATCAAAAAAGTGTTAATTGATAAAATGTTTTCGATATTATGATAAACAATTTATTAGTTGACAACTTTTTGATATCTCTCAGAGGAAGTGAGATAATTGAGCTGCAAGCATAGGGGTCTCAAACGCGGACCACGTAGCTCAGCGACGCGCCACCTAAACTTTGAGCTCAATTATCTCGGTTCCTGTGAAAGCTATCAAAAATAAGTCAATTAATAAAATGTTTGTGATATTATGATAAACATTTTATTAGTTGACCACTTTTCGATATCTCTTACAGGAACCGAGATAATTGAACACAAAGTTGATTCCCTCTAATATTCCCAATTTCCAGCGTCGCGTCGAGAAGCTTGTCCAAAACGCGAAATCCGCCGAAAATCGCAACATCTCCGTGAAGGCGTTGGAGACCGTACTCAAAGGTGTTGATGACAATGAGAATAGGTAAGGACACCTCTTTTTTCGCAGAATCCAATGGTCCATGTCGAAAATTCCAGAAAGACACGCAAACAGTCGATGAAGAAGGCCAGTTCGACGACAGCCATCAAAAGTCGAAGTGGATCGAAGAAACCAAAAGCGAAGTGAACGAAAAATTTGCATATACAAATAGGATGGGTACTACAACTACTACTACCGCCTGGGCAAACATTCAGACGTCTTCTTCTTCTTGGTCATTTTTGGGGTTTTTTTTCGCCGACCGATCTCTTCTTCTTCTTATCTATTCCTAATAAAATTGATTAAAAAATTTGCTGACCATTTTTCTTGATAAACTGATTATTCTTACATTGACCTAAAATTCGTCAAAAAATTTGGAACGCTTCACGAATTTGCGTGTCATCCTTGCGCAGGGGCCATGCTAATCTTCTCTGTATTGTTCCAATTTTAGTATATGTTCTCGGAAGAACAAGAACTATGAAAACGCAACGCGTATATAAGGGGTAGGGTAGACAAGCGGCCGACACTTCCCGGGTTCCGCCGCCCGCTATGTTTTGTGTGTAAAAGGGGCGGGGCTTAGGGGTGAAGGAGGGGGAGACAGGGAGAGGCATCTTAAAATGGCTGTAACTTTGAGTGGAATGGAGTTTTTCAAAAAATTGTTTTTGTATTGAATAGGAAATTCAAAGAGGAACAATATTATGTAAAATTTGTTTTAGGAATTTTTAGTTTTCTGTATTAAAATGATAGTTTTCTCGAACCCTATTATCTTTGGAATTGACGGTACAATTTTTTGAAACCAAACCTAACCTTATTCGAAACAATGACTAATCATCGCTTTATTGACCATTTCTCACACTTCTTATTGACTTTTTTTCTCATTTCTCGACCTTTCTATATCTATTTTTCTCACTCTAAACATAGAATATTTACTTTTGATCACTAGCAAAAACTAAAAAAACTAAAAAACCTTGAAGTTCACCAAAAGTTAAATTATCAAAACTTTGGAGAGTGCGAAAGACAAATAAGACTCAAGGAGATAAATATAACAGAGTTCTCTACTCTGTGGAAAGAGAATTCGCATGGTTCCGGTTCTTGTGCTGCTCGTTTCGCTCATTTTTGCTGATGGATATGTGATTGGAGGTGGTACCCAGGTGAGTGTGGTCTGGTAAAATGAAATTTAGTCAGTAGGCTAGCTCTTGTCCTGCTAATTACAAATATCAAAAATTTTCCAAACTCGGGTGAAAACTAGCCGAGTTACAGCAGTTTTTGTGAATCCTCAAGTCAGCTGCTAGCGCGACAATGTAAAGTTGTAGTTGTCGCGCTAGCCGCTGATCGCCTCCGTGTAAGTGCGCCCTGCGGATAAAAACCTCCATAACTCAGCTAGTTTTAGCTCGATTTTGAGAATTGTTTGATATTTGAAAGCAGCGAAACAAGGCAAACAAACTCAGATTATTGGAAACAAGCTTATAGCTCTACTCAGCTTACTCGGAAGACCTAATTTTAGGTTTTCTCTTTTAAAAAATATAAGTCTAACGTAAAGCTCCTTTTGCTGGTTTGAAATATATAAAAAATTACCAAAATCGGGTGAGAACTAGCCGAGTTATAGCAGTTTTTACAAATCTTCAAGTCATCGGCCAGCACGACAAGTGGATGTTCTTGTTGTCGCGCTAGCCACCGATCACCTCCGTGTAATTGCGCCCTATGGATGAAGACTTCCGTACCTCAGCTAGTTCTTGACCAATTTTGACCATTTTTTGATATTTGAAAACAGCAAAACAAGGCAAACGAAATTAAAATATGCAGAACGAGCTATAAACCTTCTCAGCCGGCTCAATTGACCTAATTTCAGATTTTTTTCATTTGAATTTTAAACCAATAAAGTGAAGCTTGTTTTGCTAAATCTAAAAATCAAAAAATTATTGAGATTGAGTGAAAACTAGCCGAGATAGAGCAGTTTTTGTAAAACCATCAAGTCATCGGCCAGCGCGACAAGTGGAGGTTCTTGTTGTCGCGCTAGCCGTTGATCACCTCCGTGTAAGTGCGCCCTGCGGATAAAAACCTCCGTACCTCAGCTAGTTCTCGCTCAATTTTAATAATTTTTGGGTATCTCGAATCAGCAAAATAAGGCGAACATTTTTCCAGCCCGGTGGTAACCAATACAACCCATCATCTCCAATCTACAACGGTGGCATTGGTGGAGGAGTTTCTCCAGGTGGAGGATCCAACAATGGAGGAGGAGGCGTTCAGAGAGATGAAGGAGGTTACTGTAACTACAACACGGACTGTCGCTCGGGGCTATACTGTACTCCAAGTGTAAACGGTGTTAAGATCTGTCTGTCTTCGAGTAATGGAGGAGGTGGAAATGGTTTTCCATCTGGATGCTCCACGTCTTCAAATTGTGCAAATGGAGGAGTCTGTGTTGTGAAGAATGGAGTTGGAAGTTGTCAGATTCAAACAGGAGGATATATTTCGCCAGCCAGACAGGGTATGGTCAGATACCCTTCTTTGAGCGTTGGTCGTTAATTATGCTTGTTGTGTCCGTCTGTATATGTCCATGTCAATAAATGTTTTTTGTGCTTCAATTTAAATGTTTTCGAGTTCCCAGAATTTTCTCTAATCGTCACTTCAGAATTCTCTGAAGACGTCTTCTCTAAGAATGCTCCTGAGCCTGGAAAACTGAATTCTGCGTGTGAACGAGACGCCGATTGTGATGACGATCTTTCATGTACACTGTACTTTGGTGAAATGATGTGTCGAGTACATCTGAACATCTGGAAATTCATCTTAAAGAATTTTTCAGAATCCCATAAAACCACTGGTCCCTTTGAGATGTGAATCTGACGCCGAATGTCCATCAATGGAGTATTTGTGTGTTTTTAGTACGGCTATGCAGGATAGAGTATGCTGGAAGTACGGGGGTAGGAATTTTAAAAATTTTTTGTTTTTGCTTGAGGAGGTAGTTTTGTTTGAGAGTTTAAGCAAAAAAAATCACACCACTCTGAAGCAATTTATCTCGGTTCCTGTAAGTTATATCAAAAAATGTTCAACTAACAAAATGTTGCTGATATTATGATAAACATTTTATCAATTGACTACTTTTTTATATCTTTCTCAGGAACTAAGATATATAAGCTCTAAATTGGTGGTTGCCGCCTCAAGCCGCCGGCTCGGCGGGTGCTCAAGTTGGAGGGCGCATAGCTGTCAACTCCAAACCTATACATCTCGTTTCATGTGAGAGATATCAAAAAGTTGTCAACTTATAAAATGTTAATGATATTATGACAAACATTTTATCAGTTGACCACTTTTTGATACCTCTCATAGAAACCGAGATAAATTCAGTCAAACTCAAACGAACAACTAACTCTTCTTCCAGATGTGGTCACCGACGGATATGTGATCCCTATCAAACACAAAATTTCTATGGAGCTTCAGAAGTCCACGACGTCTCCGCCACCACCTCCAAAAACCCCAAAACCCATTGAAAATAATGGGTTTTTTGCCGAATCTCGAGCAATTTTCGACAGAGAGCCAGAACCAGGAAGCCTACTGACTTCAACCCTTCGTAAGTGCTTTATAATTGGTCCAATTAAGTCGTAAAATTTTATTAGGACGTTTTCTTTGAAGAAGCCGCCCAGAATTTTCTTATCAGATAATTGGGCTGCACAAAACACGAAACAATTATGTCACAGAATTATTGTGATTTCTTTTTTTGTTCAGTTGAGCGCCGAAGGGCCTCCACACTGTAAAGTGTGAGCTTAATTATCTCGGTTCCTATAAGAGATAACGAAAATTTGTCAACTGATAAAATGTTTATCATGATATCAGCAACATTTTATCAATTGACACATTTTCTATATCTTTGACAGGGAACGAGATAAATTGGCTCAAAGTTAAAAGTATGCAAAGATTGAACAAAATCCATTTTAACGCTAATTTCAAGATAGGGAGAGCTCTAAAAGTTGACAATTTTTTAGAAAAACGAGCCGATGATGATTCAATAAGTTTTTCAAAAAACTTGGATTCGTCGAAATCTCCGATTTATGTCAAAATAGAAGATGTGCCGGAAGTTTCTGGACAACACGATGGTGAAGCGGTTCGGACGACTAAAGTGATTGTCAAGGAGGAGGAAAAAGTGGATTCTGAACTTTTGAATTCTGGAATTCAGAAGACGAAAATTGGAGAAGGAGTGGAAGTGGTGGAGAATGAGCCAATTGATCCGATGGCTACGGTATGCCAACATGATTATCATGTAAGGAAAAGTTAGAATTTTGAATTTCAGGAGTTTCTGAAATTCCAAATATCTGAATTTATTGAAAAAAAGCTTGTATCAGGAAGGCCGGCCCTACTTTGGTTCCAAGGTACTTCCGGTGGGCCCTCCTGTGTATTGCAGGGCCCTTCTAATACAGGTTTCATGGTATTTCGATTTTCAGACGTTTTTTTTCAGTGCCGAATGGGAGAAAGCTGCTCGGGGCGAGTACGATTTGTGGATCGAAACATTACAGTATGCCGATACGATATTCTGAAAAAGCATCGGCAATGCATCTACCATTCGGATTGCTTATCGGGACAGGTAGGTTTTATCTTGTCCGAGAGGAGTTCAAAATTTTAAGTTTTGAAGGCCATATAGCTATTCTGAAGAAGATTCAGTGTTTTAACGTCACAACTTTTCGGAATTTTTGGAGTTGCCGTATTTCCTCTAATAGAAGCCCACCCAACCCATTAACTTTCAGCTCACTTACCTCCATTCCTGTGAGAGATATCAAAATTTTGTTAATTGATAAAATATTGGTAATGTTATGATAAACAGTTTATCAGTTGACAAAATTTTTGATATCTTTCATAGGAATGGAGATAATTGGTTTCGAAGTGGACGGTTTGGAAATGCAGCAAATTTTGCGATACGTCTGGCCTAGTTGGCATTTGCTAAGCCATCCCATCATTTATTTTTCCAGCGCTGCACACCGAAATCCAAAGATTTAGCGACATGTGAAACGGATATATCTGCCACACTTGGATCCATCGAATGTTTTTATGATTACGAGTGTTCGGGAGGAGAGAAATGTACACTTATTGATGATAAGCAACGGAAATTCGTTTGTCGACCATCGCCGACTTCTGATCCACGCATGAATCAGATTTGCACCACCAATGCTCAGTGCCCGTTCCAACAGGTTTCTTTTAGATTTACCATTTTGAAAGTTTGTCGTTAGGAGCTTCTTGAGGAGTTTATCTTGAACTTGTACCTTAGAAGACCACTTTTTTATAATTCTTCCAGGAATTCATATAAATTCGATCAAATGTTAGGAATGCCCTTTTTTCCAGCTCCCCCAGACACACAAATCTTTTCCTAGATTCTTCTCTTTTTTTTTTGAAAAAAAAAGAATAAAAACAACCGGAAACGCTAAAAAACTAGGAGGTAAGAAGTTGAACAATGGGGGGAACGTGGGGTGGATAATGACACTTTTATGTTTTTTTTTGTGTGTCTAGGGACCACCTTCCGGAAGTGTTCGTCATTGTTTTGTTTGGATTTTCAAAAATTTTGAAGGTTGGGATAAGCATCCTAAGTATCCGGAAAGTTGAATCTTTCCAGCTTTGAGAAAAAGAAAACCAAAACTGGTAGCGACATTTGGTAACTTTACAGCCTTAAAGGTGGGGGGACAGGAGACTTTTCGGAGGATTTTTGGAGCCAGGGTATGCGTTCTACCGTGACGGTGTACAACGCTTAATGTCACTCTGCGTACAGATGTCGTCCTCGCCTTTATGTATGCAATCGGGCGGCCGCTTTCTCTTTACCTGCGTGGCTCAGTCGGTAGTGGCGCCGCACCCCCAACCCCCACAAGTTCAACTCCTCGAGGGGCACATTTAAAAGGAATTTCGAGAACATTATTTTTTTTCATGTCTCCCCACCTTTAAAGGTCGTACACAAGACATTCTTAATTTCCTCTAAACACCTTGTAAACTGAAAAAGATCTGATGGTTTTAATTTATATGGATTCCTGGAAGAATTACAAAAAAGTGGACTTCTAGACATATGTGGCTGCGAACCACATATACAATTGCTCTTATTGAGGACAAGGAAACTCAAAAACTGTTTGGCTTCAACATTATTTTGTAGAGCTTTCTGAGTACTACATTTTGAAACTTGAATCATCCAAAAACATGAATTTTGAAGTGAGTTATGAGTCAACATGTGAGCCAACTTTGGTTTTCTCCCATCTAGGCTCATAACATTTTTCAAATCGTATATTTTTGAACGAATCAAATTGTAAAATGTAAAACTTGTTAAGCTTTACAATATAATCTAAAAGTAAGTTAATACATCGTTTCTGATAAATAGATAGGCTCAAAAAATAGACCAAAGCGACCTCTTCAGAACTTGTCAGCGCAGCTCAGGCGGACTTCGGCGATTCAGCTGCTTCAAACTCAACATTTTCACATAACTCAAATTCCAAGACATAGAGATTTCTACGCTCTACAGAATAGTGTTTAAGCCATTTGAAAAGATAAATATCGAACCAAGTTATGAGTTAATATGTTGAGACAACATTGCTTTCCTCACATTTTGGCTCATAACTTCTTTCAGATTCATTATTTTCGAACAAGTCAAAATTTAAAGGGAGACTCCGACCAAAAATTTTTATTGCATCAAAATGTGCTAAAATTTGTCTATTTTTCGAATATTATTGCGAAAAAATTCAAAGAAAATCCGAAATCCCCGAAAAACGGCGTTGAAAAGGAAGAAAATTCAAAAAAAGGTGCCGCCGGGGGACGAGGGTTTTCAGTGAGAAACTTAGGCCACGGCACCTGACAGCCTTTTTTTCAAGTCGCCGACAGTGGTTTTTTACGTTTTTTACCTGCCGGACATGAAATTGAAAAAAA